TCACATTAATTCAAACTGGATAATAGATCTAAATGCAAAACCTAAAATGAAAAAACTTTTAGAAGACATAGGAGAAAAATCTTTGTGATCCTGGGTGAGGCCAAGATTTCTTAGATATGACACCAAAAGCATGCTCCATAAAGGAAAAAAAGTAGGTAAAGTGGAATTCATCAAAAGTAAAAACTGCTGCTCTGGGAAAGATACTTTTTTTTTTTTTTCAGTACGTGGGCCTCTCACTGTTGTGGCCTCTCCCGTTGCGGAGCACAGGCTCAGAACATGCAGGCTCAGCGGCCATAGCTCACGGGCCCAGCCGCTCCACGGCATGTGGGTTCCTCCCGGACCGGGGCACGAACCCGTGTCCCCTGCAACGGCAGGCGGACTCTCAACCACTGCGCCACCAGGGAAGCCCTGGGAAAGACACTTTTAAGAGATTAAAAAGACAAGCCACAGGCTGGAAAAATTATTTGCAAAACACATATCTAAGAGAAGACAATTCAGAATACATAGAAAACAATCAAAATTGAATAATAAGAAAATGAAACACCCAGCTAAAAATCTCACAAAAGGTTTGACAGACACTTTACCAAAAAAGGTATACAAATGCCTAACGAACAGATGAAAAGATGCTCAATATCATTAGCTATTAAGGGAATGAGAATTAGTGAGATACCACTACGTGCCCACTAGAATATCTATAACTAAAAAGACTGTTAATACAAAGTGTTGGAAAGAATGTGAGAATAGTGGAATCCTCAAACATTGCTGGTGGGAAGATAAAATAGTATAGCCACTGTGGTAAATCAATTGTCAGTGTCTCAAAAAGTTAAACATACACTTATCATATGATGGAACAAATCAAATCCTAGGAATTTGCCCAAGAGAAATTAAAACTTATGTCCACACAAAGACTTGGATGTGAACATTCAGAGCACTGCTTTTCATAATCACGAAAGAAAGTATAAACAATCCAATGTCTCTCAAAAGGTGAATGGGTAAACAAACTTTGGTATATCCACACAATGGAATACTCCTCAGCAATAAAAAGGAAAGAACCAGTGATACATGCAAGAACATGGAAAAATCTCAAATGCATAATGCTAAGTGAAAGAAGCCAGACTCAAAAGGCTATATAACATATGATTCCATTTACATGGCAGTTTTTAAAAAGCAAAACTTACAGGAACAAAAAGTAAAAGTAAAGGGGAAGGATGATTTCAAAGAAGGGTTACCAGATTTAGCAAATAAAAATACAGGACAGACCCAGTTAAATTTAAATTTCAGATAAATGATAAATAATCTTCAGTGTAAGTATAGCTCATGCAATATAATGGTTCTTAAACTGTGGTCCCAGGACCAGCACCTTTAGAGTTACCTGGGTACTTATTAGGCATGCAAATTCTCAGGCCCCATTCAGATCTACTAAAACAGAAACTCTGGGCATGGAACCAGCAATTTATGTTTTACAAGCCCTCCAGGTGATTCTCATGGTATGGTTTGAAAACCACTGTTCACTATACCTCTAACTGGCAAAAAATGAACCATAAGAAGCTAATATGAAGAGAAAGGGGCACATGAGCCTGTTTGATATATCAATTCACCATCATCAAATATTAACTGAACAGACAAAGGGGGTACAGTAGGTTCTCTGAGAAGGGACTACAGAAGTGATCCTCAACTGAGGGCAATTTCGCCCCTAGGAGACACTGGCAATGTCTGGAGACATTTTTAGTTGTCACAATTGGGAGGAGAGGCTACTGGCATCTGGTGGGTAGAGGCCAGGGATGCTGCTAAACATCATACAAAGCACAGAACAGCCCCCCAAAACAAATAATTATCCAGCCCAAAATGTCAATAGTGCTGAGGCTGAGAAAGCTGGACTTAATCAAAACATATTTTTTAACCCCAAAGGCTTTAAAATCAAAGACATTATTATGAACACGGAAATAAAAAGATTAAAAAGGTAGTGACAAATAAAATATAATTCAAGGTGTCTCATACTAAAAATACTAGAACTATTCTGAGGAGAATTTATAGAGACTAGTGATACAGAGCTAAAACAGCAATTTGGTGGTAGGAGGCACCTTTATGATGAAAATTACCAGGTTCCTTTATTTTTAGAAGTTATGTAAAAGAATAAATTGGAGATCACAAGTTTGAGAACCATATACAAATTAAACTGCATCTGTAGACACTGTATGACCATGAAACATACTGGCCCAGGAATCATGGAACTTGAGTTCTAGTTTTGTTTGGTATTAGGTAGCTGTGTAACTTAGCACAGGTCACTTCCTTATCTGGGCTTCAATCTGTTGATCTGTAAAATGAAGGGCTTAGACGACTTAAGTCATATCTAAGACCCCTTGCAGCTTTAATATACTATGTCTATGTCAAAAAAATGAGCAAAGGAAACATTCAAATACATTTTTTACAGGATATGAGGGGGCACAGTGTCATTTAGTTCCCTTTGGGGTAGTTTTGTGTTGACTTTGGTACTTTTGGCTTTTGTGTTTAGAAGGCGCTAAACAAAGTTTAGATTTTCTTATTTATTTATAACAATTATATTAACAATTCATGTTCATTGTAGAAAAATTAGAATATACAAATAAACCACTCTTTTCCACTAAGTAGGATTCTGAGACGAATTATAGCAGGAAT